GGGTACCCGAGACCTTATAACTGGGGCCTAAGGTTCGTCAACATCAAGTCCATTTCATCGCGCTTAAGAAGTAATGACCTAGCTGCTTGTAACATAGGATTCAGCATTAAATTAACTTGTTCTAATGCGCGTCTTCTAAGCTGGCAAGAAAACTCAATCTCCTCAGTCGTTAGAACAAGGCTCTTCTCTAGGAAGGCTCTTCTTTAGCTTGAAGCTTTGGACCAGTAAACAAACAAGTAACATCAGAGCGCCGCGCCCTTTGACAAGTGACGTAGGTAGAACCAACCTGTCAGAGCGCTCACGTAGCTCGCTTATTTCAGTGCACAACAAAACATTCTTGATAATCCAAATCGCCAACAACACCAGCTTGGTCCCGAAATAAAGGTCTTGAACCCGAAATCTTTGCACTAGGCTAAACATTTGCTGACGTAAGGCGAAAAGATAATTTAGGGACACAAAGTAGGCCTAAGAAGATCATCTTAACAAAAAGCTAAACTACAAACGTAGTCAGCACACTAACCGTTCCCCAGTTGTCAATGAATCTGCGATAACCTCCTTGATCGTACTCTTCGGGTAAGCGACACACAGAAGCTGCGAAGTCTTTTGTGACCGAATACTTCTCAACCCGAGCTAAATCCAGTTGATATCGAGCTGCCCCATTATTGCAGACTTTCTTTTTTTCAAAAAAGACTTTGTGATTATTTGATGTCTCTTTTTCCATCTTCTCATAACCTACAATAGCGAGAAAGCAGAGACAGAGAAAGGGGGTAGAAACAGACACACAGTTAATTTATCAACGGAGTTTCTTTTATTACATAAGATTTGTTTTCAAGGAAGCCGTGTCGGTCAAACGACAGTTGCTACCCAGATAAAAGAGAGACATAATGTAAATATCTAAGTAAAGATAACATCAAAGGAAATCGAGAACGAAGACGAACAGAACGAATTCCTTGTCAGTTTCCAATTTTCCTTTCCTGAAGAGTACATTTGCACGTCCAAATAAGATATATTGTATTTTTCTCTGCTTTAAGATTTTAATTTCATAAGAACTTGTCCTAAAATGTTAAAAGAAACATCAGTCTGCAGGTCACAGTGTTTATGTCTCGAGCCTGTGGCGTGATAGTTGTCCTTGGAAACTTTATGTTAAAATAAACTACAATCTTCGACAAAAGTCTTGGCACACCTTCCCACTTTTGCAATATCTGTCAGGGAAATTTATCAGTTCGTCCCCTTCCCCCCAATTCAATGTTGTTTATCGTGAT